TAACCTTAAGACTAACATATTCATACTAACACCCAAAAAACTTTAATTTTGATTTCATGGGGACTTTAGCTGTTGTTTCAGGAAACAGTTAATACTTTATTAGTAAACTATGATTTTGGTCATACCTGAAATATTAGTACATGTACCTTTGAGAGTCTGAGTTAATGATGTTATGTGTTGACGTCATTTTAACTGAAACAGGAAGACAGGGCGGGACATATCAAGCAGCCCCGCCCCTTTAAAATAGCCAATAGCGTTTGTTTATATCACAGCTTGGGCTAGAGCTGTTGAGCTCTGTAAAGCCGCATTTGACAGGGTATGCCAGGCACAATCTCATCCATATTGTTATAAAATATAGCATTCTGTGTAGAATTCAAATAGCTCCGATACATTTTGTGGTCTGCGCCGACTCGCGCATGTGATCCGTGCCATGCTATCGTGTCTCTGGACCGGAGCAGAGTGTGTGTGCGGTACGGTGGTTAGCGTGACACAGCGCGAAACCAGACTGACATCAGAAAAATCGTTGAGCCGTTTTGGCGGAAGTGATGAACTGCAAGCTTTGAATGCTTATATCTTCTAAATGCGAATTTTGTCACCGTTTTGGAGCACACTGCCTTATAGATAACCTTAAGACTAACATATTGATACTAACACCCAAAAAAAACTGTAATTTTGATTTCATGGGGACTTTAAGGTTGACGATGGACTCACTTGATCTTTCTGAACTCGTCACAGTCGCACAGGATCAGGTTCATGTGTTTGTCGAACGCTTTGAACGTGCCGATGAAGATCCGGCCGTCCTGCAGGATACAGCGCATCCGGAAGTCGATGTGCTGCAACATCTTACTGCTCTTACCCACCGTCTGGAAGACAAACAAGAGTTAAACACAACATTACAGATACACATGCATCAAACTAACACTGACCAGCAGATACTGGTAACGAATAGGACTTTTATTTTGCAATTTACCCTGTTCAAGGTACACAAGTTACTCTTACTGTCCATTGTGTTTTGGATGTTTATTTCAAAAAGAGAAAACCAATAGTTACGGTGAATACTTAAAGCATGCAAATCTAATTATTAGATAATAAATAAATCAAAGCACTATTGACCACGACGGAAATAATCGGAGAGCAAAATAAAAGTCTTCTTCCTGATTGCGTTGCGCAGCTAAACCGCTTATTCTTCCCCACTGGAGCAGACAAATAACGTAAACAATAGACTTAAACTCCTAAAAATGTGCTGCAAAACATAACTTATACGTTTGCATTCAGACTTGCATAATTATGTAATCATATAAAATGGTTTAAATCGATCTTTGTACTACAAGAGCAAACAAACGACGCTCACCACCATTAACGGTCATATCACTCTCCAGACTGGATTTTAGAGAAAGGTTCCTGCATTTTGTTTCAGAAACAAACTATAATTTCTAATGAGTTTTAAATCCCTTATTTTATTGGTCTTCGGCTGTTAGCCGATCGCTAGCTCTACGCATCAACGACGTAATGATAACGAACACAGTTTTAATTCAAAATCTTCACTAAACAGCAGAAATATTAAGATAGTTGTTTAATCGTACACTAATAAGACAAATAACGAAGTCTTACCATGGTTGCTGTTCGGATGGCTCCGATTAATATCGGATTCTGCCAAACTAGTTTTAAAAATTGACCCGCAAACCGCCGCTGAGTCCTTTAATGGAGGCGAAGCGGAAAAGAGTGCGACGCGACAGGAGTCCGACCGGAAACACGGAACACGATCTAAACTGTCCGCTGCTCCTTCTGTGTGTAAATTTAACGAAAAAAATGTTTGTTTGTTTTTTAATCAGGCTACTTTTAGCGAAATAAGAAAGAAATACAAAATATGATCACAGAGAACACAGAGAAAATGAATAATATAACTGAAAAATAAATCACATAATTTGTAAAACTCAGTCTTGATTTTTTAATTGAAGAGTTATCTTGTTTTTTTTGTATGTGAATGTAGTAAAGATTATAATGTTAATCAATATTAATATAATAATATTACTATTAATTTATTTATACTAATTTAATAATATTAGCCTAATAAGTGACCCTTGAGCACAAAAGCAGTGTTAAGTCGCTGGGGTATATTTGTAGCAAAAGACAACAATACATTGTATGGCTCAAAATTATAGTTTTTTCTTTTATGCCAAAAATCATTAGGATATTTATACATCAATGGAGCGCTTATTTATTCAGCTTTCAGATTTCGAAAAATTGACCGTTATGACTGGTTTTGTGCTCCAGGGTCACACATACTGTCTTTTTTCACAAAAAAATAAATAAACGAGAACTGCCTGCAACAGAACACTGAATATTCTAAGCAACATATTATTTTAACAATAATAAAGGTACATTACTATTATCAGTTTATTACTATTATTTATTATTATACTACTTTATTATTTCCATTGCAAGACATTTTTATATATTTATTAATTTTATTTTTTTTCTGAATAACCTGCTGAATAAACTTATAATCTAATTTAACAGAATCTACTGCTTTTTATTTAGTCCTTTCATCAAAACGTGTTCATCAGCATGCATCGCTTTTATATTTAGAAAAATACTTTGGCAAACTGGTAATCTTAAATGTACAGAATAAAAGAAGCAACACATTTTTAAATGAATTTTGTTTATTCCTTCAGCTGAGAATAAATTGCTATTTTTATATTAATCATCCAACTGTACACATTCACTTCAGAAAAATAAATAGAATTCAAATCATTCAATCCAGCCTAATTGATGTTAATTGATGTAGATCACAGGCTAAGTGTTGCATGGTTTACAGTGTTAAGAAAATAAAGAGTAGCTGTAAGACATGAGAACACGTAACATCAGATGTGAGGCGTTTAGCTGGACACTTTCCATCTCTGACCTTTATTTGTCAGTTCACTTTAAATCCAAACAATCTGGTAATTAGAAAATATGACCTAAAATAAAGTGCAAAAACAGCCGACGCTAATCCAATCACCCACGATCTGTACTCATCCGCTGAGGAAAACAACTCACTGAGAACACTAAAAACCCTGTTAAAGAATCACTCGTGTGTTGGAAAGAAATGCATATGACTCATATCACATAAGAAACGCTTTGCTTTACTCCACTTTGATAACCGTAAGTTATTGTTTGTATCTTGGTATTTACAGTCCTGGTTTTGTGTTTTGCATCTGAATAAAAAGCAAAATCTTTGAAATAAACAGAATAGGCATGATTTCAGTGCTAAATCTTCAGCATAACAACAAATGATGTCAACCAAATGCTCGAAAACACACACAGACCTTATTTTCCCCAAAATAAAGCACATTTTCTTTAGGTTTGCACTAATTCCCCCCACAGATATTGTGATTTTTTCACATTAAAGGTATAAAAGGATCAAGATTTCTAGCTGCAGATTTGATCATATTAAAACAGCTAACATTATAGCGTCAGTCAAGTGCTTTGTGAGTTCAAGATTGAGGAGAAAGTGAATATTTTAATTACGTGGTGATGGCATTTTTGGGCTATTGCTTTATGTTTATCCAACCATATGTGCATATATATATATACACACACTCTTACTAAGCATTTCTAGGTCACAGCTCACCCGAAATCAAAAGAAATTATATTTTGCATGAAGAACATAAAGCCCATTCTTTGCAGCTATTTTTTTTTTTTCAGTAGAGAATGAGATTTTCTTGCATCACAAGTTCATTTTAAACTCACTGAGAACACTAAAAACCCTGTTAAAGAATCACTCATGTGTTGGAAAGAAATGCATATGACTCATATATCACATAAGAAACGCTTTGCTTTACTCCACTTTGATAACCGTAAGTTATTGTTTGTACCTTGGTATTTACAGTCCTGGTTTTGTGTTTTGCATCTGAATAAAAAGCAAAATCTTTGAAATAAACAGAATAGGCATGATTTCAGTGCTAAATCTTCAGCATAACAACAAATGATGTCAACCAAATGCTCGAAAACACACACAGACCTTATTTTCCCCAAAATAAAGCACATTTTCTTTAGGTTTGCACTAATTCCCCCCACAGATATTGTGATTTTTTCACATTAAAGGTATAAAAGGATCAAGATTTCTAGCTGCAGATTTGATCATATTAAAACAGCTAACATTATAGCGTCAGTCAAGTGCTTTGTGAGTTCAAGATTGAGGAGAAAGTGAATATTTTAATTACGTGGTGATGGCATTTTTGGGCTATTGCTTTATGTTTATCCAACCATATGTGCATATATATATATACACACACTCTTACTAAGCATTTCTAGGTCACAGCTCACCCGAAATCAAAAGAAATTATATTTTGCATGAAGAACATAAAGCCCATTCTTTGCAGCTATTTTTTTTTTTTCAGTAGAGAATGAGATTTTCTTGCATCACAAGTTCATTTTAAAAGGAAAATGTGCTTGATTTTCATGAAAATAATGTAAAAACTATTAATTTTCTTCATGCAAAATTATATTTCTAATTCTCTTGATTTTGAGGTGAAATATGACCTGCTGCATGTTTCATATTAGCTGTTATCAATGCCAGTGTTTTCATTAATAAAGTGCAACCTTTTTCAATTGGTAAACCCATGTTTGCATGAAGGTACAGATCTGCAGTGGCAATACAAACCATATGAAATTGCGTCTTGCACTCCTCTTTACATGTACGCACAACAGATGAGACTCATTCAGACACATACCATGCAAACTCAATTGAACTTCAAATTCTAGAGGAAAAGTCTGTTGCATGTGCATTATTACAGTAGAGACGGGCGGCAGTCATGAACAGGTTAATACGAGGGTCACACAGTGTGCATAGAGTGAGCCGAGGGCCGCTGCATTGCTGTGCATCCATCATCGACTAAGGCAGCGTAAAATCAGAAGAGGATGGTAAGAAAACCTAAGCTAATGGATACAGAGCATTTCTCCCTCGTAGCAGCACCGGTTTGATATGACGGTGAAAGCTGATGGAAAGTGTGCATGCATCACTCCTGACCAAAGCCTTCCGTTTCCTCGATGGCAAACAGCAGCTTCTCCTTTAGCTGCTCGAAGCTTTTATAGGGCGGCAGATCCAGACGGTTAAAGCTGGTGAGGTGAAAAATCAAATAAGCACTTTAAAAGCTGCACAGCCCTGCATGCTGATATTGCCTAATGTGATAATGCTGCGTTCAAAAGTATCAATACAAACTTTCCATCATGTATAGTTGTTTAACAATATAATGAAGATATTTCAGAGTGCATACAAGTATCAGCTTTAAAAAAGCAGATATCAGTATAAGGCATAAAATAATGTCTTCAGAATCATTCATACATGGGTCAAAGACGTTAAGATGTCCACATCAAAAGAAATGGACAAAAGTGATTTTATGTCCATAGAAAGCACATTGAATGTAAGTAAAGTGTCTACTTTTAAGTTTTTGGAGAATAAAATGTTAAAATTTGGCTGAAATAATGTTACATTGTCATTCAGTGTAACACAATATTTATGTAAACATTCAAGCAACATGCTTATTCTGACTTGTACATATTAAAATATATAAAAGAATAAGGGAGCATATTACATTTTATTGTGTTTTAAATGAGTAAAAATTCTTACTGACAAATGGGCAAAACCTAGGATAGTGGCAAATTTTAAAAAATGTAAAATTACAACTAATTAGTATTTGGGGTGAAAGTAATTAGTCTTTTAATATGTCATAAATTGATTTTTGTTGTAAATATGCCTGACAAGATTGAATGACATTTTAGTGGGTCTCTTCTGTAAATCAGGGAAGAATGTATGATATTTATTTTTTGCTCGGAAAAACAAAACAAAATTGCACTTAAATTAAACAGAAAACTTTTACATTTTTTTGAGGGAAAAACAACAACAATTTAAAGCAGTATTACACTTATTGTTTTTACGCTTAAACCCTTTTTCGTCTTTGACCCACATGTGAAAATGGGCTGAGAATTGAACAAATGGTTGTAATCTGGTTTAGAGGAAGAAAGGAATCGTGTTTGTGGTGTTTTCCAGTTGATTAAGGGAGAATACAAGACTTCTTCATTGCACAAATGGTTGTCTAAAGCAAAAATGCTACGGAGTGCATCATATCTTGAGAAAGCTGAGACCTGCTGGAGCTAAACAGCATTCAAAATTAGTAAGAAACGCAGGATTTCATGCAGATGCTGCAGGGCAGTCTCATTGACTAGAAGAACATTATGTTTTTAGCTTGAAGACCGTAAATGCTTTCATCTTCATTTTAAGGAGGTCTGCAGAAGTGAATGAATTGCACACTGGTCATTTTTGTTTGACGCAAAACCATCTGCCACAACAGGTCATATCTGCTTTAATGCACAATACAGTTTCCATATACATGATTTAAAAGCTTAAAGGGGTCATATGATGTTGCTAAAAAGAACATTATTTTGTGTATTTGGTGTAATGAAATGTGTTTATGCGGTTTAAGGTTATTGAAATCGCATCATATGACCCCTTTAATTCTTATTACTGTCGGTGTGAACAGGCCTTTAGTGAGTGAGTACAGTTACAGTATGATAATCAAATATGATTTCTGATCTTACCATGTGTGGCTCCTTGGCAGCCAGTTTTCTTTTCCCACTTTCTCAATACAGAACTTTTGCGGCCCATTGCTCCCTACAGAAATCACAACATACACAACTTTGAAGTGCAAGAGAAAGGACTGGCATTGCATTTAAACCAATAGGCTGTGCAGGCATTCAGCTATGTGAGTGTTTACTGCTTCCATACATGCAGTAGTAAGGGGAAGATACTATTTCATTGTGATGAATTTTGAATACCTAATTGTACATATCTACTTGAAGTTCCCCAAAGATTTTAAGTTCAAATTTCAAAAACATTTAAAAACACTCTTAACATGTTCAAGGTTTGATGATGTTAATTATTGGTTACATGACATGCAGGTAAACAAAATATTTTATCATTTTCTAGTAAGTTTATTTTATGTTGATTTAACATTTTTATGAATGAATTAATTCTTTACTTTCCATCAAACATGTTTGCCCGGTTTCACAGACTGGGCTTAGCTTAAGCCAGGACTAGGCCACAGTTCAATTAGGATTTTAAAGTAATTTTTATAAACATGCCTTAAAAAAACATTACTGGTGTGCATCTTGTGACAAAACAAGGGCACTGACATATTTCAAGAATTATAGTTTTTATTAATATCTTAAATTACTTTTTATTTTTTATATTTTCCATTTTTATTTTTAGTTCAGGGTTTAGTAATTTAGTTGGTTGTTTTTGCCTTTTTTATTATTATGTTTGTTTGTTTTACATGCCTACATATTTTAGACATATTTTATAGGTCTACATCTTTTCATTATTTTAGTTTTGGTTATTTTAGTAAATATTTTAGTATTTTAGTTACTTGCCAATTAGATGGGGAAAAAAAATGTTTTTTTTCATATATATTTGTATTTCAGTTAACCTCTTTTTTTTTCAAGTAACAAAAATACTTTTTTATGGTTTTGGTTTAACACACACACACACACACACACACACATAGTTTTTTTTTATATATATTTGTATTTCAGTTAACCTCTTTTTTTTTCAAGTAACAAAAATACTTTTTTATGGTTTTGGTTTAACACACACACACACACACACACATATACATACATTATATATATATATATATATATATGTGTGTGACCTTGGTCACAAAACCAGTCATAAGGGTCAATTTCTCGAAATAGAGATTTATACATCATCTGAAAGCTGAATAAATAATCTTTCCTTTGATGTATGGTTTGTTAGGATAGGACAATATTTGGCTGAGATGATGGTGCTCCTCTGCCAGTCGCCCAGATCGATCTCCTGCATCCCACACAGCATCACCTACAGCACAATTACACATTCAGAGCAGACAAAACATATTGCGTCTATGGCCTCATTTACACCTGATATTAACAGCAGACACAAAATATAGTTAAAAATGTCTTGTGACATTTGGAGGTCAGAGATGCATTTGTACAGAAAAAGCCTTTGAATGTTATGAAGTGTAGTTTGTACCTCCAGCTCTTTGGCATCAAAGTATTGCAGGTACTGCTGCGGCAAGACCTCATTAAAGCCCTCGAGAAACGCCTGAGTCTGTTCCTCAACCCCTCTGGACAACCTCCACTCAGCAACCAACCTGCAACACGTTTTATTCCACAATCACTCACTGATATTATGGCTAATAGTGCTGTAACTATATGCCGTTTGTCAAGATTCAGAATGCTTGCAATCTGAAAATAGGCTTATTATAATTATTTTATTATATAAATATATTTTTTAAATTTTTTAACAATTAGTCAATCTTTAGAATTTTCATTAGATATTTTTACAGTCCTAGTGGCTTTTTTGTAAAAAATAATAATAATAATATTTTATTAATAATAATATTTTATATAATATTTAATATCATTATTTATTTACTTATTTTAACATATTAATTATAATTATAAATTATATTTATTATAACTTAACATTTAACATAATATTTTGAATTATTTATATAATTATATAATGTCATTATTGTATGTAATAAATGTAATTTTATATCGATATATACCTGTCTCTCTCTCTCTCTCTTCATATAAAGCAGCTAAATTTATTTGTAAATATACAAAATATTTTTAATTATATAATGTCATTATTATATGTAATAAATGTAATTATATATATATAAAGCAGCTAACTTTGTAAATCTACAAAATTTTAAATTATTATAATATAATATAAATATATATTATGTATAATATTTATAACTAATTTATAATTAAAAATGTGTATAATACATATTCATATATTTTTTAAAATATTTAATATATAATTATAGAAATACTAATTCTAAATGTTATTTGAAATGAAAATCATTGTCTGTAATTTATCTGTGCTGTATAAGTGAGATTTGTTTACCTGATATACTCCTCTTTATTTTCCTCTGTCACCTGAATGTTTCCTCCATCAGGTTTGAGTTCATGTGTGGTGACTTCTCCCAAAATCTCCTTATCCACCGAGAAATACATCTCCAAGCCACATTCCTCTATATTATTATCCCTATGGAAAAACATTTCATAGTTAGGACCAATAACGATTCTTAATTTCCTAGTAATTCATATCCCTAATTATCAGACTTTTATTATCTCTGTAACTCATTCTCACTTGATCCAGATGAGCGAGTTGTAAAACTCCGGGTCGATGGACTCCAGGTCTTTCAGAGCCAGAGGTTTGTTCAGGATGCGCTTATAAAATGGCAAAGAGAAGCCCGTGTCTATGAACTTCCCATGAAACAGAGCCTGTGTGAGAGAGAACAGAAAAAGCTCAATGCATTTCAAACCAAGATCCTTTAGTGTGTCTCCACTGTCCAGGTCTGTCGTACCATAGCGATGAACCGGCCAATGAACTTGAAGTATTTGAGGTGGTCAGGGTTGATGAAGGAGGCGGGGTTAATCTGCAGGCAGTAGTTGTCTTTGCCGGCGTACTCGAACAGACAGTACATGGGATTCAAGACCTCGTGAGACAGCAGGAAGAACCATTCTCTATGACAGAAACACAACATTATTGTGTGTGTGTGTGTGTGTGTGCATATAGCAACTAAACTCATCACTTCCTGTAAATGATGCAATATACCTGGCCACGCCTCCATAGTCAAGTCCCTCCTCCCCTGGGAAAATAACCCACAGTCTCCGTCTCAGATCTTGCGGATGGCAACTCATAATCTAAACAAATCAATTCACAAGCATTTAACTTCTGTCTGCATGCCACAACTACACAAATAAAGCAGAATTAACTTGTCAAATTTACCTGCTGAAACGAGTCCTCGAACAGTGTTTTGCGGCTGACGTGGATCTTAATGTGCTGAGGCATTGCTAGTTGCTTTGGTATTAAAAACGGATTTTATTACAAAATAAATCACACATGCAAAAACTTTTTTGTTTTCATTTGGTACTGTTTTCATAAGCCTTTTACGTTACTCATCTCTAAGCACAGCTCAAATAAATACATTTTTTTCTTCAAATGCTTATGCATACTGTCAAAACAAAATCCCTTTTATCGCACCTAAAAACCATTTTGCATAATTAATGATGTGTCATTTATTATAAATGATTAATTATACTAAAATTAATGATTGTATATTAATTATCAAACCATTGTTGTTAATCATTATGATTATTAATTATATATAATACATGAATTTTAAAAAATCTAATTTTTAAACATGAAAAAAAAAAAGTTAATTAACAGCCATTAAAATGACTAGATTTATTCTGTTGTGTTTTGCTGACTCAAACAATGAAGATTTAAACACTGACTCTGTAAAATGTAATCATTTACAAGCCTAATGAAAGAACAATAGCCAGTTTTTTTAACAAAAGCATGATCAGTTTTGTGGAGTTCTGAAGATTAATGAAAATAGTGTCAAAGCAACTAAAAAAAATGCATTTTTAATTAATGCCACTTGTATGTGAGGTCCTACCTGACACCAGAAGCGGAAATAGTGCACTTTGGCTTTAAAGTCTCGTACGTATGTGATCTGAGGGCCGTTCTCACTGCAGGTTCAAAAAGACAGAAACAGACAACTGTAAAACATTAATGCACAATAATATTTAAAACAAGCGCTGCAGTAAACTTATGTGAAGTATTTCTATTTCTGTTTACGAATGGCATTTTGAATGTATGCATCTGAGAATGTCACAAAAGACCTTCTCTTTATATATCAAGCTATTAAAAGGACTGACAGGGAGGATTTTCCTGTACGGGGATCGATGTATGTCGTTGTTCGCCTGTTGTGATCGACAAAATAGGGAATCCCGTCCACTGTGAACCTCATCTCCCAACCCTCCGGCAAAGGCTTCTCATTCAACAACCTGACACACAAAAACAGCTCATTTCAACAAACATAATACTGCATGTCATTTCATTCTGTTAAATCTAACATGATTAAAAAATAATATTCATATAGTAAGAAGACAATTTAGGGTTATTATAGCGAACTAAAAGTATTAAAAGATATTTTGTTATTTAAAATTAAGCTGACATAAAACAAAATATAAATATTAGATGAAAAACTGAACAAAAATGAGAAATGCTGCTTTGGCAATTAACTAAAAAAATACTAAATGGAAATAAATGAAAACTAAAAAATATCCCAAGTGCATAAAATATTTTTTTTTTACTTAAATTAAAAAAAAATATATATATACAACTAAAATAGAAATGAAAAAAAAAAAACCTAACAAAAATGACAAAAGTAAAAAAAAAATAAAAATAAGAAAATATAAAATATTTAAAAAGCTGCGTATAAAAAAAAAAAAAGTGTATAAATAATTAATAAAATAACACTGGCAGTGGATAGTTTGTGATTGCGTCGCACCCTTGTGTTCGAGGGTCTTCCCATTGTGTGGATCTCGTAGGATGGTGAACAAAATACATCCTCCTATTACTGTCTGTCCGTTTCTCTGTGGGCCAAACCAGCAGACACACACAGGTTCAAGAAAAGACAGCGTGAGCTGCTCTATTACGAGGGTATGCCGCATTAAATGATAGAGCGGTGACTCACCCCATCCCGGCGGCAGAGGACCCAGAGGGTCAAACTCTTTATTAGCTGTCGGAGCGAGCTGTTCCTGCAGCTGAAGAGAAGAGCAAGGACAGCTCGGGTTATTTAAAAATCATTAAAATCCCTTGAAAAGAGTCTGACTGGCTGACTGATCTTTCTCTTTTATGTAGGCCTGTCGCAGTAATCAATATATCGACTTATTGCGCAATATATGTACATGCCTAGTATATGCCTAGGCCTGGGCGATAAAACGGTATCGATATTTATCGACGGTACACCTTCTTCGATAACGATATAAAAAATGTTCAATATAGCGCACGATATAGGCACGTGCTATGAGTGACGCAGACCGCACACACAAACACGAACACATGCTGAATTGAGTGCTGTGCCTTGCCTGTGATGAGGAGATTGTGAATAAAAAAATGATTTTAATGTTTTGTTAGTCTAGCCCACGAGCAGCAATGAGGAGATTGTGAATTAAAAAAAGTGAATATTATAGTCGAATTTAAAATCTCCTCAGTTGCAGCGTTATGCATTCAAAATATTAGAGAAATATAGAAGCTCAATGCGGAGAAGATCTTGATTAGGTTAAAAACGAAACCAAGCCATTCACACAGATGCATATTCAGCGCATTTTCTAGACGGACAAGTACGACTGCTGCACTCGCGTATCACACAAGAGATGTAGCCATGCAAAGTTAAAACTTTGTTTTCACAAAGTTTTCACTGCGTCTCTTATGTTTTTAAAGGCAATCTGCGTGATGGGCGATTCGGCTCTTTGTATTAAGCAATGCATAAATACATGATGCTGTTTTGTTCATAATTGTTTATGCAATTTACGAAATTATATTTGATTTTTATGAGTTAATTTAGACATAATGCACATTTTTTTATAGACAGTTATTTCCTTGCGTTGACAAATTTAAATGCGCTGCATTATTTTGCTCATGGCGCCCTCCTGTGGCCTCGGGAGACAAGACAAAAGATTCCTTCAGACCTATTTAATCTGCACATAAAACATTAGAAATTAAATATTTGTTTAATTTTTATTGTGTGTTTAACTGTTAAAACCAAAAATATTTGTTGTTTGTCTCAATAAATTGGGTTAATTTAAAAATACAGTGGTTAAATTTAAACGTTTTTTTCTATTGCTCTTTGTTTTAAAACTTTAGGGATCTGTGCCTTTGTGCATACGGACATCTGACTGCGTAGTGTGTTTTTCAGCAATAGTGTGCACCCTTCATTTACAGAGAAAAGAAGGTCGGGGAAAAATCTGTAGATGGAAAAGTCTCCATACAAGTTCTTTGTGCATTGATGAATTCACTCACTCCGTAGATGAATCTCTGGTTGAAGCGCTGCATGGCTCCTTGCAGCTGACTGCGCTGGTTCTGCCACTCCTCGTAGTTCCGGACCGACTCGAGTGTGGGTCTCTGCCATGTGGTGGTTCTGTTTATATGATCCACGTAGTACACACGGCCCATCGGGTCCAAGCGACGCTCCCAGCTACCACAAAACACACACAAGGTTCTCCAAACAACTGCTCATCAAGGACACTTTCTGACCTTGGGTTTTATTCACCCGCCATTTTTACATTTACAATACCTTTTTAAATAATAATAATCATCATCATCATAATAACACTTATTATTGTTATTATTATTATTAGTAGTAGTATTTAAAAATGAACGATCTTTTTTGAAGATAATTGATGACAACAACAATAACAATTATGATTATTATATAATTATTATTATTTTTTCAGTATAATTATAACTGTTTAGCATTTATTTTTCATACCAATTTTATCTAAACGGTCAGTGGTCACATGTCGGAGAATAACAAAAAAACACTTAATAATAATACTAATGTGTCATTATATAAAAATATGTGTCATTGTTATTCTTATTAATATTCTTATTTCATATTAATTTAAAATTAACAATGATAATTTTTGATGATGACTGCTGATAGCAAAACAACAACAACAATAATTGTTATCATCATTATTATTATTATTATTATTATTATTATTATTATTATTTTAAACACAAATAATTATTTTATTGTTACTTTCATACATAAAATTCAGCTAAAAGGGTCACAGGTCAGAAAACATAAACCTTTAAAAAAAGAAAACATGGCATTTAAAAATAAACATCAATAAAAGTACAAAAACTAAACGGGCTTTAAATATATGAATCGAAAGTCCTCTTAAATGCTATATCAACAGATGCTGTTTTAAAATGAATGCCTGGGAGCTTGTCTAACGTCAGTAGGTAAAGTGACTAAAAGCAGTGAGCGTTTCCTGACATCTTATGTTTTACATAAGAGCATTTATTCAGGTAATTGAATTAGTACATACTTTTCACTCTTTGTATTCAATACACAATTAAAACATATGTAAGCAGCGAATTGATGAATCTGTAAAACTATAAAGTGATCTCTAAAGAAGACAGCATGGTTACCCTGCTGGTAGCGGTTCTGGTCTTTCCCATGTGGTTCTTTTCTCAATGTGATCCACGTAGTAAACGTGGCCGTTCTGATCCACTCTCTGCTCCCAGCTACACATATTAACCAAGAAACAAAAAGAAAAGATATCAGACTAAATCCATACAGGCTTGCTATTAAATAGTGTCTTCATTTTCACTCAGTCATCCTGACATTTAGCAGCATCAAGATGTTTTTGATTGCATTGACTTGCTTGTAATTTTCCTTCACTGTAATTGTATGACGTACCCAGGAGGAAGAGGGCCGTTACTGATCAGTGAAGCTCTGGGTGGCGTTGGACTGGCCCTCGGGGCCTGGTTTGACCCTGAACCTGAGCTTGACCCCTGACTCTCTGTTTCTCCGTTCACACACACCCGTGGAGATGTTTCTGGGCTGGGAGCGCTGCTGCCGTGAGTGGGAGTCGAGCCAGCAGAGGACGCTAAAAAACAATGCAGGCAACTTTGCCTTAAAGGCTGCATTTACACTGGCACAAAATGCCTTGCCTTGCAATATCTGACACAGATCGGAATTGGTTGCACGTGTAAACACAAAAATCCACACGAGATCCGATTTTTTTGCATCGGATCTGGGCCACTTCCAAATGTGGATTTCAATATCCGATATCTGGACATCCGAACTACGTGTAAATATACATATCCAATTCCCTGCAGAACTCCCAATGCGAGGGCGGCACGTTTGCCCATAAAGATAGCGTTTTAATGCCGGCTTGCTGTATGCGCTCGTATTGAGAAGGAAGTATTAATATTACTAATACCAAATATTACTAATGCACACTTATTAAAGCAATTAAATAACATGACTATCTGTGAAAAAGTGCACAATGTTTATAAACCAAATATAATTAAGTTGCTTAAACAATTATAAACAAAACAGCATCATGTATGCATAGTTTAATAAAAAGGGACAAAAGCCTATCACACAGAGTACTTTTTTCATTTAAAAGCATGAGATGCAGTGGGATGGGAAAAAAATCCCGCCATAAAGTCCAAGGACATGCTTTTTTAAAAGTTGAACTTACTTTAATTTGACATTTTACATGCTTTCTAAACATACGGCTCTCTTGTGCGAGACATGAGTGCAACGCTGATAGATGTCCCTCTAGAAAATGTGCAAAATATGCGTTCTGTGTGAACAGCTTGGTTTCGGTTTTGACCTAAACAACATCTTCTCCGCAATGATGTTCTTTTCCCACAATATTTTGAATGAACAACACAGCATCGCCGCATCTAGTGGGTTCAACTGGATAGGCTGACAAAAACATTAAAAAGCAATGACATATACACCGTCATCGCATTTCATGCGCCACTGATAAGGCTGTCTGACACACACCTAACATTCAAATGCAACGTTTTTGCATTCGAATGTGGATTTTTATATATTTTTTTTAATTCTATGAATATTGTAAATTCGAATTTTTATTTGCAGCCCTACTGTAAATTAGGGGTGGGAATCGCAGGGTACCTCACGATACGATACAAATTACGATACATGGCTCACGATACGATAATATCACGATACAGTGATTCTGCGATAATCAATATATTGCTAGACAATTCTATAATGATACATCACGATAACTACGAAAACAAAATGCCTGTGAAAAGTTTAAGTGCAAGTTTTCTCTCTTTATAAGTCCAAACTGTTAGAAAACAACACAAAAGTTCTGTAAATCAAATTTAACATGCTAAGGAAATTAATCATTTTATTCTTGAACTTATTAAAAAGCTTACTTTTCTTTGTGTGTAAACCAACACATTTAACTGCTTATCAACTTTATATATAGCCTATATATAAACCAGGTACATTTCAAAATTTACCTGGAGTGCTTTCTCAACCTTTCCTCTCCTCTCATCATAAAAACCAAAAAAGAGCCCCGCACACATGACATGCAGGGGGAAAAAAAGCCATTCACATCGCGTCTTTTGCGCGCTCAGGTTCGTTATTTCAAATGTAGACGTGCGGCAAGCGCACACACACAGCACACTTCTGCGCCGCATTACGGCTCTGACGAGGTTTTGTTTCGTCGTCCATGCCATAGGTGCAGATTTATGTTTCTGCCGTTCGGTGCCCACTGCCCACACTGCATAATGCGCACTTGCAATACCTGGGAGAGAGGGAGAGCATCCAGTTTTGTTGACATAAAACTGGATGCCCGGGGACACTCTCTCTCACTCAAATAGTGAGGGAAATCCACCTGAGATCCGAGCGGAGAGGTTAGGCTACTCACGGACTCGATATGCGCTCTGCAATAATAACGTGATCGATGCCTACAGTCCACGCTGATAGCTGTTCCGGGGCAGTTTTTTAGTTCTCATCTCCATAAACATATATATAGCAGTAGAGCTAATACAGTGGCTGGAAATCTGTTTATCCTTCGGTTCCTCGTGCTTCCCCATCTTCATAGAGGTTCATGGTTGCTCAGAGCGCTTTGGAAAGAAGGTGGAAATGGTGCAGCCGCGATTTCCACGCATTTTTTTAGATGCTGGGAGCAGGGAAATGTATATAGAGTGCCTTATTGTAGTAATATATTGTAGTATTGTATTGTAGTAAAATATCGATATTTGGCGCCAGATATCGATTCTCGTATCGCATGGAGAAGGACAACGATATATCGCCATATCGATATTTGTCCCACCCCTACTGTAAACAGGCGGACCAAATAATTGGATATGGTCAAAAGATCGGATCTGTGCGTTAAGACTTGCAGTGTAAATGCAGCCAAAGAAGACTTAAATCCAAACTCAAATGCTATGAAAATGCAGGATGCGAGTCCTCTGGTAATGTTCCTACCTGTGGAGGAAATAGGTTTATGCGGTGAGGCGGGTGGCGGCCGCTGGGGTCGAGGTGGCCTCAGAGCCCCTGCGGATGGAGAGGCAGACCCCGTATTTTCCACTGCATGACCGTTGGGCAGCGGCGCTTTATCAGCGATGTCACTGGATGGGGAAGAATCTCGACTAGACCAACAGCAAACAGACACAAACGTCCAGGTGACTGGTGATTTTCAACTTAAGACAATAGCTAAAAATATACATATTTTTTAACATCAAGAAAATTTCTGTTATATGTATGACATATAAGCTTTATATTCCATAATTGAACTGCTAACATTAAAAAATCTGGCCATCATTTTTATGCATCCAATTAAAATTAAGTAAATTTAAATAAGAATGAATTATAGCTAAATAAATAATTTTACAAAAACATTCCTGCTATTTGTGCATGACAAAGCATTTTTATATTCCATAATTCAGCTATTAATATTCAGTAATCTGGCCATAATTTTTTATACCTTTTATTTTGAAACTGCATTAAACTGAAATAAAAAAACAATTTAAAGCTACAAACAAAAATAATGTTTTTAAAAAATACGTAATTTTTAACATCTACAACACTGCTGTTTTATGTGCATGACATAGAAGTTTTATATTCCACAATTAATCTGCTAACATTCAATAATCTGGCCATAATTTGTAATGCGTTTTATTACAACTGAATTAAACTGAAATAAAATAAATTAGTTAAATAGAAATTAATTTTACAAAAACATTCCTGCTATTTGTGCATGACAAAGCATTTTTATATTCCATAATTCAGCTATTAATATTCAGTAATCTGGCCATCATTTTTTATACCTTTTATTTTGAAACTGCATTAAACTGAAATAAAAAAAACTATTTAAAGCTACAAACAAAAATAATGTTTTTAAAAAATACGTAATTTTTAACATCTACAACACTGCTGTTTTATGTGCATGACATAGAAGTTTTATATTCCACAATTAATCTGCTAACATTCAATAATCTGGCCATAATTTGTAATGCGTTTTATTACAACTGAATTAAACTGAAATAAAATAAATTAGTTAAATAGAAATTTAAATGCTAACAACTAATATTCAATAACAGCAGCTGACATAAAATTACCGAAATTAAAACTTAAATAAAAATAAATTCAATCGAAATAGAAATATATATTTTTTAATTAAATCTACAACATTCTTGTTTTATGTCTCCACAATTCAACTGCTAACATTTAATAATCTGGCCATAACTTTTATGCATCTTATTTTTAAATAAGAATGATGAGAATATATAAGAGCAGATAAAATAAAAAGGATTTTTTTTTAGCTTTTATGTATCAATAAACTATGCATTATGATCTATAAAACGTCAGAGTAGGCAGTCAACATATTTCCCTGGAGAACTAATTTCACCAAGAACACAAACAAAAGTAAAGAAGAAAGATTCAAGCTCTTTCTACACATATTATGGTAATATTCCCTCAGAAATAGCATAGCAATTTTTATTTTACCTTCCTGCTACATCCCCGTTCAGTTTGGATTCTCCATTTACAACAGCATCTGTGACTGAAGAGAAACAATGCACAATGTCTTGTGTGGGAAATATTTATTTTAAACAGCAAAGAATCTAAATCTATTAACTGCTGTTGAAAACAAGCCGAGTGTGTTTTGTAGGGATAAAGAAGGTCTCAACTGTGCTTTTGTTCCTCAGAAGCAAATGTCTCGGGATCCACCTGCAGTCCATCGAGACACACTGAGAGATCTCCAACCATCTCCGCACGCTCTCTGTCTGAACTCAACTGCAGCGTCTGCACCACCTCACTGACTGAGACACACACACAATCTTTACAATAACACTACTTACAGAACTGAAAGATGAATGTTAACAGCCTGTAAAAGCAGCATCCTGAGAATTTCCATGACATTTCCCGGGTATATTGAATAAAAATGTTTAAACCATCTTGTTTCAAAACATTTCATGAACGACTCATTCTGACTGAGTTATGAATAGATTTAAAAGATTCATTGAAAAGAACCGACTCGCAAGAATGATTTGCTCACATATCAGGCATCACTGCAGTTTGCAAGCATGTTTTACCACAAGAATAGCAATAGAAAGCTGATTAAATAAATGTAAGCTTTTAAAGCATATTCATAGAAGCGGAGCTGGAAAGCTAAATTGGCTTCACGAGGTAAACAAGCTCACAGTGACACTTAAGATTGCATTCACTCAATCTGCAGTTCTATAATTCACATTAGCTGTGAGTGTATCTGTAAAGTATCTGAAAAGACTCTCTGTTTGGTGCTACGAGTCCGTTCACCTGCCTTTCTCCATTACAAAGAGGCAATAAAACCCAAAACGCTCTTAACACACACTACAGAGGCCTGCCTCTGAATGAGATTCACACAAGTAGAGAACATGGAAACTCACTCTTCATATTGTTGGCTTTTAAGGTCTCGCTGACCTCCAGAGCGGCCATGCCCAGCAAAATGTCCGATTTAAGTGTCTGATGACTCCAAACCCGGAAAATTAACTTGCTGAAAGGGGTGACGATCCTATAAGCAATATGATCAACAGAGCAGCGTTGTTACAGCTACATGAAAATAAAACTATTAAAATGACAATTTTACATAATTAAACTGAAGCTGAAATAAAATATACATTTTTTTAAAATTAAATAAAATTAGAAATATTGCCTTACATTTAAGTTGAAATTAGTGGTCGACCGATATATCGCCAAGGCCGATATATCGGCCGATATTTGGCATTTTTCAAATATCGGCATCGGCCGATAAGTTTTTCTGCCTGGCCGATGTGTTCGAGGCGGGACTTTTATTTTGACGGCGCGGAGAACGGCAGCGCCAGAGCACACAGTGCTCACATTCTCCCTCTTGTTGTCATCTAAAGTATAAGTATGTTTATTTTACACATTTATTTTTAATATAATTCATTTTCAAATTATTTCAAGTTTCTCAAACATTAATTAAAATAAATAAAAATTATAATGAAAATAAAAAATATACTTATATATATCGGCTTAATATCGGCCACCCTGCTCTCTAAGATATCGGCATCAGCTGTCAAAAAACCATTATCGGTCGGCCACTAGTTGAAATACTAAAATTATTAAAACTAAAATAAATATAAATTAAAACTAAAAAGAACTATTATAAAAACACAAGAAAACAATTTAAATAAAACATAAATATTAGGAATGCTTCGATCGATCGACCAGAGATCGGTATCGGCCGATAATCACATTTTATGACTCGATCTGGACTCACTACACTTGGCCGATCTCACGAACCGATCGCAATTTGATGACGTCAACGCGTGACGACGTACATGATGCGTGGGGACATAAATGATTTGGCGCCACACCGGTGTGGAAATGCTATGACCTTTCGAGAAACAATGAAAAATTCGCTATTTGTCGTGTATGTTTTGCATGATGATATGATGAATGGATGGTTAATTTTTAACAGCAGATTCAGTGACGTTAGAGCTGATCTGCGCCTCACTGCACGCGTCTGCGGCGCGTTACGGCTCCACGGGAACCGGAGCTGATCGCGGCCGCTCTAATGCTTGTGTATACTGGCCAACCGCGGCACGTTTCTGAAGCGGCTCTCCGCGCTGCTTGGCTAAAAATAGCCAATAGCCAATAGTCTTTTGTGAGTTATCACAGCGTGGAGGACAACAAATCCTTGTCGGAGCCGTAAGGGATAACGGTAACATAACACGCTGATTGTGGGCTGCTTTTAAATGAACA